GGGTTCTGTATTTAACATTCAGAACTAAATCAAGGGCTCTTGGTAAGGATGGATAATAATTTGAAAAAGCAGCATTGGCTCTATCCAATAAGTGCGTTTCTCATCACAAGGCTACGGACATTGATTGTTTCTACGTATCTCGAATGGAGTTATAGTTAATTCTTCTAAAAGATCAAGTCTATACAAATAACGCTCGGCCGATCTTTTATCAATTACATTTTCGATCAATCAATCAATATCTGAGTATTGAACTTAACAAATATTCAGCTTATTTTTATTTTATTTTTTTCTAATTTATTTTCTCCATTCTCCTGTTTTTATTGCATTGGATACTTTCTCAAATTTGTTACAGACAAAAAGCAGCACACACATACATAAATATCTATATACATATGAACATATATAAATATTTTAATATATTTTCTGTTTATATGTTATTTTTATAGATACAAATATTTAAGTAAATGCTCTGTTTATAATAAAAGATACAGCACACTCAAACACTCGGTCAGAGCTATCGACGGTCCACCAATTGTTCCGTCTACGCAGTTTCACTCAAAAGGCTTGGGTCAACTTGTGCTCTGGTTTTCAAGCACTTTCCAAAGGTGCAGCACTCTGCGATCGTCGCCCCCACTCCAGAGCGATAGCATCAGCATAACATAATTCTCCTTTCTAACAAATCAACCGTGGTGAGATTCGAACCCGTGTACAATATGCGTATATATATATATATATATATATATATATATATATATATATATATATATATATATATAGTATTTCATCTTCAAGTGACTCTTAACTCTCTGACCACTTAACGAAGGAAAATAGTCTAGCCACTCCCACAATAACGAATTCTGTAACGGACCGGGCCTAAAAATACACGTAAACCGACAGAGAGCTTATTCCTAAAATTTCGCTTGAACTAAACACCACAATCCAACTTAATTTTAATAATTATTTGGATATTTCGGCTCTCGTTTTTGAAACATGAGAACTCTTATGTAGCGAAGGAATATTTTTAAATAAAAATATTATTATAATATATATATATATATATATATATATATATATATATATATGTATAGCGTTTCACCCCAAGCAAGGCAGGAAGCCATTGGCATGCAAGGGGTTACAGAGGTTTTGGAGCTAGATCAAATACGAGAGATAGAGGAAAGGATGAAGAGAAGGATAGGGGATAGATCAAAGGCAACTGGAGACGTCCATTGATATCACATTTGAATAGCTGGCGATTATAGCTATCAGGAAACAGGAAAAGGGAGGGAGTTCCACAGGCAAGAAGTGCGAGACATGAAGCTATTGGAGTAGAAAGATGGCTACATTTAACAGTTCTCACAGTGAAAGTGTGAGAGCGATGCCATATATATATATATATATATATATATATATATATATATATATATATATATATATATATATATATATATATTTCATATTCTTATTTATCTTGCCGGTGCATGTGTGTAAGGCTGCCTTACTATTTTCATTGCTAGCTGTTAACCTCATCAATCATCTATCTATCTATCTATCTATCTATCTATCTATCTCTTTATATATATATATATATATATATATATATATATATATATATATATATATATATATATAATTTGACTCATTACAGTTTACCTGGCAAGCAATCTTGTGTCTATTTTTTCCCTCTGAGAATAAGAATACATACGATTTTTTAATGAATTCACTCTAAGTAAGGGTTTAATGCTACTAAGATGAAAGGGGTTACTGTGAATGAAAAAGAATGTCAATACTGTAGAAAGAACCGGAAATCCAGTCCTAAACAGGAAACAAGGTTTGAAACTCTACTGCTGTTCCAAAAGGCCGGGGATGAATGTGAAAAAGACTGCAATAAATTTATTCATATTATCCTATTACAGATACCGTCTGCCTGGAATATTTACACAGACATATATATATATATATATATATATATATATATATATATATATATATATATATATATATATATATATATATATGTGTGTGTGTGAATATATATATGTCGATAAATAATATATACAAAATATAGAGATTATAACCATAATTAAATCTCTCATTTTTTACATGAACACATCCTACAACCAACCAAATATGAATAATCATTCCTTCGGTAATAGCTAAACATAAATGATTAAAACTAAGACGTAAAGAAACCAAAGTATTATTCCGAAACAAAACTTGAAACGCTCATTTTGTCCTGCTACTATTTCCTTATATCCCCCAGTGACCTACATATACAAAGCACTAAAGAAATTAGTAACATTTGACATGAACGTTACATTGATGTGTGATATATGCAGAGTTGATCTCTCCACCTCATTTTTTCTCTGCTTCTCTTCAATGTAATCTGTCAACTAATCTTTCCACATACAAAACTCACCCTGACAAAGCATTTTATATATCTATCTATCTATCTATCTATCTATCTGTGTATTCTTATCTCGATGCCACTATTTTCTCTCTCTCTCTCTCTCTATCTATCTATCTATCTATCTATCTATCTATCTATCTATGTATTCTTATTTTGTGATCTCAGTTTTCATTATCTATCTATCTATCTATCTATCTATCTATCTATCTGTCTGTCTGTCTGTCTGTCTCAGTCTGTTCTCATCTATCTATCTATCTATCTATCTATCTATCTATCTATCTATCTATCTGTTTGTTTGCATCCATGATGTCTTGCTACCATCATACTCAATAACGATGTTACGTCGATCTTTTATATCTATCTATCTATCTATCTATCTATCTATCTATCTATCTATCTATCTATCTATCTATTCACATCTGCTTATTTATTCATATGTGTGTGTGTGTGTGTGTGTGCGTGCGTGTGTGTGTGTGTGTTTGTGTACATATTTTTCTGTCTCCTCTGTTAAAGCTTCCAACGAATGTATGATTTCACACCAACAGCACACAGGCACACATCAGACTTCCATCATCTCATTCGCCCGGACACGTCTACATTTTACCTACAGACACGAATATAGGTTTCGATGCTTACTCAGCTGCTAATGTAATTAAGTATTTGGGCAAACTATTCAGGTTAAACGCCATTACGAAATCGACGCTTTGCGATAGCACAATGTCCGTGAGAGCGAACAGGGTTACATTAGTTGTCATGTTCAATCCATTGTGTTCAGTATTTATGTCGTCTATCGGCCTGCGTACTCAAGAAAGCTTAATAAAGAAAATGTAGTCTCCGGCAGGATTCGAACGTCTTCATAGCTGTCAAAGCATATTGTATCAGACGACGGTTCGGATCTTCAAATAAGAGTATCAACTAAAAATAACGTTTGAAGCAATAAAAATATGTCGGGTAGAATTCATTTAGTGAACCTGGATATTTCTAGAATATAAACGAATTTAAGACAAGCAATCTCTTTTATCATAGTGCTCAATATCAAGTGATAGAGCAATAAATATAATATATTTATCGTTTCTCTATTTTACAATAAAGTTGATTTCATTTCGCAAAATTCACAGCAGAAACGTGATAAGTAAACCTTTATTTTATTATATACTAGTCGGCTTCGTAAAGTAAGATATATTCACTACTTAAAATATTTGAAACAAAAATTTTAAATGAACATTTCATTTATAAATTTGCTTGTTATAGTTAAGGAAAGGTGTACAAATCGATGTCAACTTGTTGAAGGCAAAATAAAGTGCAAATTTCAAACACTTTTCTGCACTATATAAGACAATATTCCAAAATAGAATTATAAATAATAAAATCAAAACAACCCTTCAATAAAAGAACACTAATGAAGGACAGTTAATTAATGAAATATGCTTTTTTAAAATCAGTATGCAAATTAGTTAAAACTGAAGAGTGATATGACCTAGAAGAAGATTTATCGTATAAATTGTCACCCATGAAATAAAAATAATTGTTTGTACGAAAAAATAAGGATCTACGTACATCAAATCATCTTTAAATTAAGTAGCAGCAGAAAAATTATCGTTGAGCTTTTAAGAGGTAAGCTTAATAATTCAGTTCTTCTGTATTTTATTAATGCCTATCGCACCTATTCCTCCCTAGTTACTGTGATGCTGACTAAACCAAGAGTCCTCCGCGTGAGCTAGTTTAAATGCGCCCCAATAGGGCTGTTTTTAAGCTAGTTAATAATTAAAAAAGTGCACTGCAATTTGGGATACAAAAGGAAAGTAAGAGTTACTCCCTTTGAACCCTGAAGCAACGATAATGGCTAGTATAATATATTAATAATTTTAATCTAGCAACCCTGAATTTGAGCTCAACGAAAATCGTTCCCTGCACCTAAATTTCCTAAGGCTTTTGCAAGAGCTATGAATCATTGAAATTTGACCAGTGGGAGCGAAGGAGTTGCTTGAACACACACACACACACACATACGCTGTACTTTATATATAAGATATATAGGTCTGTCGGAAAAGTAACGGAACTTGGTGTTCTGTGTGAGCTATGATCGAAACAGGGATAAGCGGATTGTGTTATCATCTAATATATCTTGGGATTATATAACTGTAATCTTAGCCTTCAGCAGCCATTCCATTTTTCACATGCTTTTGTGGCCACTTTACCATGAAAATGCACCTGCTCACAACGCCCTGAGCATCCGGCAGTTCTTGGTCGAGAACAACATCGCCGTACTGAGACAATCTTCCTATTCATCTGGTTTTGTTCCGTGTGACTTTGTTCTTCTTCCCAAATTCAAGTGTATCATCAAGGGAGTTCGTTTTGAAGATGTGAAGGCAATCAAGAAGGCCGTAACGACGGAGTTGAGGGGAATACAAGAAGAATATTTCAAAGAAGAATCCTTACAGTGGTGCATAGAAGTGTGGCAGAGAAAGATGAAAAGGTGCATTGGACTCGAGGGGGGGTCACTTTGAGGGGGAAAACATGTTGTTGTTGTTGTTTGGAATTTATATAAATTGTTTGTGACACAATTACCGTTATTCAGATAGGCCTCATATTTTTTTTAATTACAAAAGCAGAACATTTCCTCTTTTTCACGAAAAAAATACAGAATAAAAATAGGCCTGTGCGCTTTGCTGCTAAATTCAAATTCACCTAAAAAATTAATATAGGCAATGACACAAAGTTGCCTGCATATAAATCCTAGACAATTTCCTTATGGACAGTTATAAGTGGCTACATTATTACGTAAGATGTATATAAATCTGGCGTTCAAATTTCCTAAGTAAAAGCAACACACACATACACACACATATATATATATGTTGCTTTTACTAACATCGACATACTCCCTATTCATTTAATCTTGTTCCGTGTTCTTCTTCCTTAATTCACGTGAATCATGAAGGGGGTCCGTTTTGAAGGTGTGGAGGCCATCAACACGGCCCTATCGACGGAGTTGAGGGGGATACAAGAATAATCCTTACAAGAAGAATTTTTACAGCGGTCCATAAAAGCCTGACAGAGAAAGAGGAAAAGGTGCATATATAAGTAAAAGCAACATATACATACACACACACATATATATATGTTGCTTTTTACTTAGGGAAGTTGAATATATATATATATATATATATATATATATATATATATATATATATGTTGCTTTTAATATATATATATATATATATATATATATATATATATATAAAGTAATGAAGTGTTTGACAATCCGTGTGGATAATTACAAAGGGTATGTAATCCAGAGAACTCAATGTAACACCAGAGCAATTATTAATTAAATAATTAAGAAAGAGACGACCTTAAGCTTCCATGACGATATATAAATGTTTGTGTGTGCGTGTGGCAGAGTGTATGTGTGCGTAGCGCATGTCTGTGTAAGTTCATGTTTAAATTAGATTGTCTCTATAACATATTCACAGACTTTTTTAATATCTCGTGAAATCCTTTTAAAACAGCTAATCAGTAAAATGCCAAGTGCACATTGTGCACGAGCAGATATTCTCCACTTGGGTGACTCAGTCGGTAGCAAATGTGCTAGTGTACTGTCCATCTGTCACATTCGCAATCGCAGAGTAGATTCTTCCCTTGTCTTCCAGGTATTCTCATGGGAAATATGTTACCAAAGACTGTCACCCGCCTTTACCGCTCACTTATATTTCAGATTTGCATTCCTGTGGTTCCTAGCTTTTCCAAAGAATGAAATGGTAATGGTAATATTAGCCGCTTCTTTATAAGGACACATTCATTGCTCGATCAAACAATGGTATTTCGGTGGAATCTTCCTATTAAAACATTTTCATGAAAACATGCTTTTCAAGTCCAGTAGCTGTTATTGTTCTTTCCAGTATTGATAGAGGTTTCCTTCCAAACCTTTCATTTGAAGTAGTGTGGAAAGCCAACACTTTGGTTTTGTCATTATTTTCTCTTCGAGTGACATAAGTGATGTGAGCCCAAAGTTGGGACCACGGAAGGAAAACACGGAACACGGATTAGAGGTAAGAAAGATATATTAAACAAAAAGGTTACAAAGATAGTGTAAGTGTAAGCGGAGCTTACTATGTGCTAGTGTCCAATATTGGTAGTCGTACGCTGCTGATACTCTCACTCTCTCTCTCTCTCTCTCTCTCTTTCCTCCTCTTCTCCTACAGTGTTATATCGCATACTTTATATAGTCCTGGAAGAGTCCATGTTGTAGGTATGTTACGGTCCCACAACAATAAAGGATACTGGAATATCTCGAGATCTCCCAAGTTGAACATTTCCTTGTAGTCAACTTGGGATACTTGGAGCCATTACCCTAGGTAGGCTATATTTTTCATATGAAATGGACTGATACTTTCAGGAGAGATCTCGTGTGTGTGTGTGTGTGTGTGTGTGTGTGTGTGTGTGTGTGTGTGTGTGTGCGCGCGCGATATTATATGAGTGTCTGCATGTTGGACTATATCAATAAATCCGTAACCTACCGCAATTATTAGTTGAATTCAAATTGAATGTTTTCACTGTATAATATTCAGGCTATGTAATCCATCGAGAAGCGTTAGATGAAGTGCATTGACAAAGAAGATTATGTTCAAAAAATATTGTTGTGCCATATAAATGCTTTTTCTTCATCACGAGGCTACAGATTCATTGATATACCTACGTATCTTCAAAAACTGTTTATCAATGATATTACTCGTAGGAAAAAAGCTGGTGCTTAAAAATATGTCTGATACTTACGACTAAGAAGTGAATGCAATCCTCACTGTGTGTCCTATAAAAATTGATATTAAGCAACCCAGAAAGATTTGACATGTTAAACTCACAACCATTTTAGTGAATTTAAGGAGGCTATAAGCGGCAAGGAAAATAACATTCTGAGAAAAGAGAGCTGGGAGAATCTAATACTCACAGCACATACTAAAAGCAAGAAAAAATCATCAATTAATTTAATTAATGAGTTTGTGTAAATGAATGAAGACAAAGAGGAATGGTAAAAGGTCATGAAGGGAGACAGTATCAAAAAGAACGTGGAGCTTAAATGATTTGCTCAGTATGTGTATTTGGAGACGCGCGGTTGTATGTAGGTGGGAATGTGCGTGTTCTTGTAGAAAGTATAAGAATGAAAAGAAAAGAAGAAGAAGAAAAAGAACAAGAAGAACAAGAAGAAGAAGAAGAAGAAGAAGAAGAAGGGGATAAGAGAATAGATCCTGTGGGTGGGTGGGGGAAATGAATAAATAAACGAACAAAGCATCAAAAAATTAGATGAAAACTGGGAAAGGTGTATTTTTCTTCAGTCGAATAGATGCCGTTTTTGATTCTCAAGTGGCTAGAGAGAGAGAGAGGGGGGGAGAGAGAGTGAGAGAGAGGGAGAGAGGGAGGGAGAGAGAGTGAAAACGTGTGGGAGAAAGATTCATACATACATACATAGAAAACAGACTGAAATAGATAATGAACAGAATTAAAATATATATATATATATATATATATATATATATATATATATATATATATATATATATATATAAGTATAAGTGCGCAGGTATGCAGAAAATAGAAAAGAACACGTTGGGTGTATAATCCGGAGTTCCTTAGTATTATTGTTTTTATTTTAATATATATATATATATATATATATATATATATAGATAGATAGATAGATAGATACATACATGCATACATACATACATACATACATAGATCCTGACTTAAATACATACGTATATAAACAGAGATAGACTTAGAAAGATAAATGTCTATGCCTGAATTCGAAATATATTTACAAACATTCTAAAACAGACACACATTAGTCGATCAAAATAAATTGATATATCTGTCTAGCATAGATACGAACTGACTGAAATAGATGTTGTCACCGAGGATGAAAGAGAAAAATAGAAAAGACGAAGATAGATAGATAGATAGATAGATAGATAGATGGGTCGTCTACAGAAGAATGCAAAGAAGAAGAAAAAAGAAAGAAAAAACGAAACTAGCAGAATGGAAACAAGCCTGAAGGTCTTTCACTATTTCGAAGATAAACGCGGTAGGAGTCTTGATATCATTCGATGTAATAAGCTGTGTATTTACTCAGATCATTCATGGCAGACATCTTTTTTATTGGATGCTCTTCAATCTAATAACATTCGACACTTACCGCCATCCTCACCTCCATCTTCTATCATTGCTTGACACCACAACCAACACTCATAGGTTAACTGTCTCCGTCTGGCCAGACTATCATTTTAACACTGTTTTGTCAATAATATTAGAATGATATTGATAAGAGTAATTAAACAATAAACAATATTGAAGAACTAATAATAATAATAATAATAATAATAATAATAAAGGGTTATATAATGCATTATTAAGAAGAAAAATGCTACATAGAATTTTAAAAAATAAAAATATAAAAACAGATTCAAAGCTGTCGCTAATCGTAATATTTGTCATTACAATTCCAAACCAAATAATACTTTAGACGAACTATTACGGTTACGCAGTGGGCATCTGAAAAGCGAAACCAAATTGCTTTGTCCTGCCGCTTTGCACAAATTATCAATAGCATATGTTTGAAAGTGAAAATAGCCAATGCCTATAAAAAATGAAATGCTTATTCTATGATCTGTGGGTGCACAAAAGTGTAACTATAAAAATGGGCATTTAAAAAGTATATATTCACATATCTTCATAATCAAATACGCAGCAAGTGTCACCGACATATCGAAAACAGCTGAGATTTTTTCAATATGCGCAAACAAATTCTGCTCGTAAAATGCTTTCTTTTTTTGAAACCAAAGCTGAGACGTTAAACCATAAATTAAATGATAGCAGATTTTCTCGAGACCATATACCAACAGTTAGTGAATATGTACGCATTTATGGTATATGGGTGAACCTCCAAATATCTATATGACCTGAGCCTAGCTGCTTAATCTGGTTTTAACGTCCCAATGGTGACAGAAATTGGTTTGTCATATTCAATACCACAAAAGCCAAACTAGCAACGTTTCATAATCACCAAGCAGATCCTGAATTTTCGCCTATTGCGACGAATGGGCGTCCTGCAGCGGAGACATTTTGACTTGGACTACTTTTGGGACTGAAGTTCAACCCATACCTCAAATGGAACATCAATTCGATCCAAGGCTAGTGATGCTGAAAAAATTGTAGGTCCTTTGTATCGCTCTAAGTAGGTATCTAGCTCCAATAAGTAGCTTTTATGGAGCCAGATCAAACCGAAAATGGAGAACAATTGCCATATCTGGAGAGAAGTAACACATTCCCCAATCCATCAAAAAGTCAATAACATTTACGGAGCCTTACAGATGATTGCTTATTTCCCAACCTGTAACTTTTTGCCCATTGACGAAACGTTCTCATTCTTTGTTGGCGAAACCATAGAAAATATTTACACTGTTTACATCATTCGGGCTGTTGTCCTCATCTTTATTGCCATAATCACAACCTTTCAGCTGCTGTACTCTCCGGCCTTCTTCAGGACTTGTCTATATTTCTAAAATGAGGTATTGTAACTATTTACAGTATTTATATCATTCGGGCCGTTGCCTTCATCTTTATTGCCATAATCACGACCTTTCGGCCGCTGCACGCTCCGGCCTTCTTCAGGACCAGTCTATATTTCTAAAATGAATTATTGTAACTATTTACTCTCCTTACATCATTCGGGCTGTTGTCCTCTTCTTTATTGCCATAATCACGACTTTTCGGCCGCTGCACGCTCCGGCCTTCTTCAGGACCAGTCTGTATTTCTAAAATGAATTATTGTAACTATTTACTCTCCTTACATCATTCGGGCTGTTGTCCTCTTCTTTATTGCCATAATCACGACCTTTCGGCCGCTGCACGCTCCGGTCTTCTTCAGGACTAGTCTGTATTTCTAAAATGAGTTATTGTAACTATTTACATCATTCGGGCTGTTGTCCTCTTCTTTATTGCGATAATCACGATCTTTCGGCCGTTGTGCGCTCCGATCTTCTTCAGGTGATATACCAGTGGATAAAAATGCGGGTTGAATTATCCAAAAGTGACTTAACCCAAAGAGTTGTGTGTTCAGTACCTGGCCACAGCAGAGAGAAAAAACTTGGAGAGTTGAGTTACTAAAATGAATTAATTGAAAGTGAGATATCAAAAAAGTACATGGTGTGTGGAATTAGAACTATCTAACTCTGTGGACTAAATAAAGGGTTAGGTTCGAAATTCCAACGTATGTTACCGGAAGAATGTCGGAGCGTACAACAGCTGAAACGTCGTGAATATGGCAACAAAATGAGGACAACAGTTCGAACGATGTAGATAATGTTAATAGTTACAATACCTCATCTCAGAAATATAAACAGGTACCATAGAAAATTCTCTGACGCGCTACATTCCTTAGTTTCACCATTTTTGAAATTCGCAGCTAGAACCAAAAATGTCACGTACATTGGAACAAAACATCCCTATTCTCTTCGTCTTCTATTAATATGAAGGAAGATCTTTCCAAGAAGACCTATTTTGTGGATCTGACTCCATAGTGGATGCTTTCTCGATCACGACACTCTTAACATCTTTAAATGTAGGATTAGTCTTTATTTTCCATATATCCTCATAAACCGCGCTGTTTACCTCTTACTGCTCATACAGCAAATTACTTCAGTCATTCTCTACCTTGAGATGTTCTTGGGCCTTGTATAGGCTGAACATTAAAAAAGTGACTCAAAAGGAATATGTGAGTCTCTAAAATATTATTTGTCTGACCAATTATTCCAGAAATCAAAATGATTATCCATCCGTTTTTTCAATGATATTCACTCTGTACAAGGCCCACTTAAGTTAGAGGGTTACATAAGAAAATACTTTAGAAGGAACAGATTAGCTACTCCTAAACAGGAAACATGTCATAAACCTCTACTCTTGGTCAAAAGATCGAGTATGTGTATGAACCGGACAATAGGCAAACATATCTACTCCTATTGAGAAAAGAAAATTAATAAAACTACAACAGAGTAAATATTAACGTTTTCAATGAATTCATCTTCAAAAATGTTTCATAAAAAATCATGTATTTCTATATTAAATACTTTGTATTCGACTTCTATAGTAAGTATATATGCTGTAGTATATGCTGCTCTTATTTATTATGTCCATATGCAATCTTTAGCATGAATGAAAGTTTTGAAGGAATTATTTAATAAATAATTGCAATATACATTCGAAATAAATTTCTAAAGAATTCCTATAAAGGCTTTTAATATTTCCTTCGTCAGTATTTTGATATACAGTACGAGTTACGCTTTGACTTTTCGATATTATTTTCTTTTATTGATATAAATATTGTTATAAACACGACGTTTCGACCAAGTCCATCTGGTCATCTTCTTGCTCATTATTTATCTGATATCTGTGGATTATTGTGTTATTTTGTCTCTTTGATGCCAGTGTATATTCTTTCACTAACTGATTCAGGGATTAACCCATGCTGGTGATTTTCTAAGCTTGGCTTAGAAGTGGTATAAGGCCGAGAGTATAGGGCACCCAGTGGGTATCGAAGTTATTAATCAGTCGTAATTGTTCTACTTACCAACCAATAAACCACGTCGAGGTGCTATTTTAGAAGAGGAGAGAAGAAGAAGAAGAAGAAGAAGAAGAAGAAGAAGAAGAAGAAGATAAGAGAGGAGGAGGGGAGGAGGAGAAGAAGAAGAAGAAGAAGGATAATAATAATAATAATAATAATAATAATAATAATAATAATAATAATAATGAGAAGAAGAAGAAGAAGAAGAGGCCAATGAAGGAACAGCAGAAACAACAGCAGGGATACAGTAATGTCAAATTGACATTCTTTGTCTTCGAATTTTAAATTCTTTCTGGTGTTAGGTATATATGTCTTTGTTCTGATCTAAGAGGTGCGTTGGATAATCTTAAATCTGTGGGAATAATGGAAAAAGAGTTGGGTTAAGTGAATTGAAAAAGAAAGACATTGTGTTGAAAACTAAATATTTGTTGTGTAAAATAAATGCATTCTCAGCATTATACTACAAAATAATTGTTG